ATCAAGCCACCACTACTAATAAAGTCGCAGTGAAACGGAAGTAGCAACAGATCTTTTCTTCTGTATTGTGAAATACATCCAGGTGAAATGAATTGTCAAATAATCCATCAGTGGTTGTTTTGATGGAGGCAGATCTTAAAGGGATACTCCACCCCAAAATGAACATTTTGTCATTAATCACTTACCCCCATGTCCTTCCAAACCCGTAAAAGCTTTGTTCGTCTTCGGAACACAATTTAAGATATTTTGGATGAAAACCAGGAGGCTTGTGACTGTCCCATTGACTGCCAAGTAAATTACACTGTCAAAGTCCAGAAAAGTATGAAAGACATCGTCAGAATAGTCCATCTGCCATCAGTGGTTCAACCGTAACGTTATGAAGCGACGAGAATACTTTTTGTACGCAAAGAAAACAAAAATAACGACTTTATTCAACTATTCGTCTCCTCTGGGTCTCTCTGCATCACCGTAGCACCATTTTGGAGAATATCCGCTGGACGCAAGCAGCGTACGCTCTTCTGTGTCAGCCGCGCTGCACAGATGCGCTGTTTTCATTCAAATCAAAGTGTAAATACACGTAGAAAACTTATCCTTGTGTCACGGCTGACATAGAATAGCGCATGCAGTTTGCGTTCAGCGGATATTCTCCAACACAGAGGAGACAAATTGTTGAATAAAGTCATTATTTTTGTTTTCTTCGCGTACAAAAAGTATTCTCGTTGCTTCATAATGTTACGGTTGAACCACTGATGGCAGATGGACTATTCTGACGATGTCTTTCATACTTTTCTGGACCTTGACAGTGTAATTTACTTGGCAGGCAATGGGACAGTCACAAGCCTCCTGGTTTTTTATCCAAAATATCTTAAATTGTGTTCCGAAGACGAACAAAGCTTTTACGGGTTTGGAACGGCATGGGGGTAAGTGATTAATGACAAAATTTTCATTTTGGGGTGGAGTAACCCTTTAATGCAAACTTGAGGTCACTGTAAGAAAGGGATGGGATTTAAGTAAACTAAATGATTGGAATATTTCACCATAAGATCCAGTTATGACATTTTAATTCAAAATTCAATTGAATGTAAAAATAAAGATAAAAAACATGCATTTACCAAAAAAAAAAATTTTTAAAAAATACATTCTCATTTCATGCCGACTTTGAATTACAAACAATACAGTCATTCGTTTAAATCCTGTAACTATACACTCTAAAAAATGCTGGGTTGTTTCAACCCAACTTTGGGTCCAATATGGACTAAAAGCTTCTTTCATTCATCAGCCCGTTTTTGACACCAACCCTTGATAAGCCACTCGCAGTTCCCATTCACAGAGTAGTTTCCTGGTCCATCTGTGACATATCCTGGGACACCCCGCAGAACCTGTCTTTGGCCCTTACAGTCTCCTGCCCAAGTAGCAGGTATCAGAACCACCAAGACAGGCAGCAGGACAGTCGGGATGTGAGAAGGCATCCTCTCCTCCACCCACAAAGGGCAAAGTGAGAAAAAGATGGAGAAACTACTGGAGGGTGGTTGGACTTGTTCACAGTATGGAGACCTGTAGAGAGAGAGAGAGAGAGAAAAAAAATTGTGGAATTATCTACAAATAACACATCTCAAGCAAAGCATATATATATTAACCCTATAATACGGCAAAAAAGTGCCAAAAAAAAAAACATTGACTATTTATGTTATTGCCTTTGTTTTATCTGTGGTGTCATCTTTCCTGACATGCATTCAGCTCAGTTGTTTTATAAGTTAATACTCTCATTTTACAGATATCCAGGTAAACTAACATAATGTTTAGATGTTTTCAATGAGTTTTCTAAAACATTTAGATTTATCTATAACATTTAGATTTATAATTTATCTATAAATGTGAATGAATCTATAGTCATCTATAGGTTTCATCTTAGTACTTTGTCATAATTTTGAGAATTTTAGAAAAATTGTGAGAACTTATTAATAAAAACTAATTGTTTACCTGGATAATGTGTTGCAGAAAGTTCACTGAGAGTAATAACAGCAATAACAGTAAACACACACAACTGCTGCTTTGTACAAAGCAGTTTTTAATGACATACAGAAAATACACATCAGCATTATACCGCACAAGCAGTAACTGCACTGTACATGACTGTAGACCCGTACAAATGTATTAGGGCTGTGACGGTGAGGAAATTTTCCCACCGGTTAATCGACGTGTGACGTGTGTGTGTGTGTGTGTGTGTGATGGCTTGTAAAAGTACCGTGCGCATTTTACTTTTACTTTCAAATTAGCGGCAGTTGAATTGCCGCAATTCGGCATCAAACAATTGTTCGTTTGAGTTTTCCCTCTTTTCCTCGGATTTCTTGGCTGTCAGATATTTTATCATAGCACTTGCACATTGCTCTTTTGTTGATTTTGATTGCTTCCATTGTCCTCATTTGTAAATCACTTTGGATTAAAGTGTCTGCTAAATGACTAAATGTAAATGTAATATTTTTTACAAAAAATCTCACTGATTTACATAACGTCTCAGAATTTTATTTTATTTTTTGGCCATATAAATAACAACATCTGCCCCAAATTGCATATTTTTGCGCAGTTTGAGCCTCTGAATAAAACTGATGTTTTTCCTCCTCAAAAAGTATGAGCTCCATATTCTCACTATATCACGCTATATGAGCCATAAAAGTCTGATGTATCAAAAGATACAAAATATGAAACACTTATGTAAACTTTTATTTATTTTTCATCGATAAATAAAAGGTTAAATAAACTTCAATTTTTAAAGAAAAAAAAAAGATGATGTATAGATTAATATTTAAGGCTTTATAAGGTTAAACACAATAAGACTGTTTCATACATAATTGTATTATCTATCATTGATATTGTTGTTTTAAATTTTGTCGTCACTGACACAGAGTACAAACTGTAATCTCGTTGTCCTTTAAAATGACAAAGCTTTCTTATCTAATCTTATATTGTCAAAAAGACAACATCTTATGCAAAAGGCATGGCTGCAAAAACCCTTGTGAAAAATAGTCGTCTTTGAAAAACTGCAATACACCCAAAGCTGCAAAGTAGCACAAATCTTAACTCTTTAACTCCAAACTCTTTAACTATTTGACAAAAAAAAAACAAAAACACAAAGTTACACAACATAAGAGCTAAAAGGGATACTTGTCTTTTTAAACTAGTATGTCCAGAGGTTTAGCTGATACAAGCATCATTGTAACAGCAATGCTGAGCTAACGGTTTATACTACTTTAGTGTTAGCTGTTCTGTCATCATATTTAACCGATTGTGGTCCCTTGTTAAACTACATAATTACAATATTGAATATAGCAGGGTACACCTGTCCATTGTCAGTTCAGTATTTACTGATTCGTATCAATCAAAGGGACATTTAAAACTGACAACCGAGCCTTCGCTTTAGCTGAACAGGCTAACCGACCATCCATGTCTATCCCGCTAGCTGTCGGAAAAAGCAACCCGTTTCCACTCATTTACTCACCAATTCCCGAGTCTTGGTCTCCATGTTTCTAAAGCATAGAGGTTTTCGTAACTTACATCCTGTATCGGGTAGAATATTAAAAAGACGCGCTGAGCGCTGCAGTTATTGTTGTGCTGCGGCGGCTTCGGAGCCCAGCAGCGGTTTAAAGCTCGAGACCACCGCGGATGAGGATGATGTGTGCGCTGCAGCAATCAAAGGCCTCGAGCTCCGCTCACAGAATGGCTTTATTTACAAAACATCTCCAGATGTTATTAAGAACAACGTGCGCGTCCTCTCGGTTTCAACTTCTGGCTAAATCCAAGCAATACGTGTTACAACATGATCAGCCTTGTGCGTGAGTTTGTTCCCTGATATCCAGGACGCGTCTTGCTGTTAGTGTTTGTTAACTGGGGAGGTGTGTGTGCTTCCAGATGGTTGTCAACAACACAAAGCCTAATAACCGTGTGCATGCTGAACGGGTTCTCTGCTGGTCTTTTGATAGTATTGCATTTCAATCTCATGTAACCATGTAACAAGGGGTTTCAAACTTTTTTTTTCTAAGGACTGTTAATGATCTACTGACGAAAACCAATACAATACATACAATAATGTGTCAATACAATAGTAACAAGCTTGATATAGACATGGTCCATGGATACAATTTATGGAATGATTTAACAGGCTAAAATAAGCAATATAACTAAACTAAACAACTAAAATAAAAATATATAACAATATATAATACAGTTATTACTTTTTTTTTCAAGGCATGTATTTGAGGCATCATTTTACATAATTGGACCGTGTACATGTTGATCATTACACCCAATTTATTTATTCTTACTTTTATTTATGCTTATTGCTACATTTTATTATGTAAAAATAAAATATATTACAAATAAATAAATGTATTTCGATCATACATTATCTATTTGTGCCTAAATTTCATTTTACTTTTATTTATTACAGCACTGCATTACGAATTTAATCATTTCATTATACATTTATTTAATATACTTATTCTGTTAAATTACTCCATAGACAACGTGTTGCTTGCAAAATAAATACTGTACTTTAAATCTGTCATTGCAAACAAAAAAAAGAACACTGAAATATGAAAAAACGAAATATGATCAAATTTATTTATTTATTTAATGTTGTTTTCCAGATTTAATTATTTATATATTTATGCAGGAACATGTGTATGTATGTATGTATTTATTTATTTATTTTAAAATTTTTGCAGGTTTCGTCCTCCATACCATAAAAATACATTAATTAATTAATTAATTAATTAATAAAAAGTCCCTTTTATGGTCCTGAGGGTCAACTGTGGAGATAAGACAAACCAGTTCTGGATGAAAATGTAGACAAACTTGTTTAACTGTTTGTACTTTTATTTTATTTTCTGCCGTTGCTTACGGCCATACCAGCCTGAGCGCGCCCGATCTCGTCTGATCTCGGAAGTTCTCTATCTCCCTCACAGTGTTGCCAATTACGCTTTTTTCCCGCGGAAATGGGCTACTTTAACACTTTTGCCGCGGGTTGTTTTTCATGTCCGCGGGTTGAAGCGACTCCAATAACACGATATTCATCCCCTGCAATGCAAATTTTAGCAGGGAAACCCCGCCAAAAACGTGTATTTTACCCCACGGAACGCGATTTTTAACTGGGGACCCCCTCGAAACTCGATTGAGCTCGTTTTGAGTAGCGATTCGGCGGGTTTTCTTGTGAAAACCTGGCAGCCCAGCTCCCTCATCACATAACGCGGAAGTTGACAGAAATAAGACGAAACAGGTAGAACGTCTCTTCCTTAACAAATCGCTTCCTTCTTTCTTTTTAAACAACAAACTTAACTATTTAAACGGAGAAGGGCTAATGTTTTAAATCGCTCTGCGATATTTAAACGTCTTTTAAACTCTGCTGAGAAAATATTGCCGTTTAGTGAAAGTGAAAGTAGCTACAACATGGCAGAATACAGTGACGAGGATATCACAGACAGGCCATCTCTTCTAGAGTCAGACTTAACGTGTCCTGTGTGCAAAGACATTTTTAAGGAACCCGTGTTGCTCTCGTGTAGCCACAGTTTCTGTCAAGAATGCCTGGAGGGCAGCTGGAAGAACCAGTCGAAACGGCAGTGCCCGATGTGCCGAAAATGCTGCGACGGAGAGACACCGATCCCCAACCGCGCACTAAAAAACACCTGCGTGTCCTATAAAAAGGAGAGGAACTGGAGAGGACAGAGTACTGGTGTAGATGAGGTTATCTGTGGTTTGCACCAGCGGCCCTTCCAGCTCTTCTGCATTAAAGACGAGGAACCCGTGTGCGTCGACTGCGTGACTCTACATCCAGGACACGAGCTGGTGCCTATAGAGCAAGGAGTGCCTTTCTGCAAGGTGAGCTCATTGCTTTTTCCCTATTGTGGTATAAAAAGCAACTCACTTCGTGTTACAGCTACTGAAATTAATAGTGACCTTTTTATTGAAATACACATTTGTAACATGCAGTGTTTTATAGGAGGAGCTTAACATGAAAATCAAAATACTGGAAAGTAAGCAGGACTCCTTCAAAAGAATGAAAAAAAGATATAAAGATACCATCTCCTTTATTGAGGTAAGCAGTCTCCGAAAACTTTTTGAAGGCCAAACGCATAAAATGCGGTGAAATCTTAATAATTTAGAGCTAATTCTCATTCTACTTCTCCATATTGTTGCAGAGCCAGACTAAGGATGCAGAGCAACAAATCAAAGAGGAGTTTGAAAGACTCCATCAGGTCTTACGTGATGAGGAGACATCTAGAATAAATGCTTTGTATAGAGAAGAAAATGAGAAGAAGCAAATGGTGAATGAGAAGATTGAAACCATCAGTCGTGATATCACGGCTCTTGCAGAATTGATTCAGGCAGTAAAGAGGGAAATGGGAGCTGAGGATTTGACTTTCCTTCAGGTACATTTTTTATCACTTTTGTATGTGTCCCTGATAATAATTAAAACTTACTCTGTTTACCAGTTGTAAACAGGATACACAGACGCATCCAGATATTTTAACAGGTCTTATTAAGTGTTGTTTTCAATACGTAGATTACAGGCAGAATCCTCTAGACCAGGGGTAGGCAAGTTCGGTCCTAGAGAGCCGTAGTCCTGCAGAGTTCAGCTCCAACCCTGAAAAAAAAACTCACCTGCCTATAGCCTTAGTAATCCTGAAGACATTGATTAGCTTATTCGGGTGTGTTTGATTAGGGTTGGAGCTGAACTCTGCAGGACTGCGGCTCTCTAGGACCGAACTTGCCTACCCCTGCTCTAGACCAATCACTGGTGGGTCAATGACAAAAAAGAGTGTCTATAATAAAAAAGGAAAATCTAGTTTAAAGCAGTTTTTAAATCTAGTTTTTTTTTTTTTTGTATTCATGTTGGTTTCATATGGCTTTGAAAGTCTTTTCATGATAAGTTTAAATTCACTGTCTGAAAAATGTCAGCTCATTCTGTCATGTCAAATTCCTTTCAAAATTCATGTCAGGTCATTTTTTATGCCTCACGCCCCTACCAAAAAAATCAGAATTAACTTTAAGTCAAAAATGAAAAGCATATGAATACATCATATTAGATGTGTATTCCAGTCATTGTATGTATGAATTGCATTTTTAATGGGCAATGCTGAGAAATATCTTCAACCTAGGTTTAAATATGGCAAGTGTAGAAGAGGACTTGACATGAAATCGTGTCATTGACCCTTTATATTCATACTGACTGGGTTTTCTCATAACTGATAACTAAATTAGACGTGTCCCACATTCAGCTCTTATAAGTCAACTTTTCTCCTTCCACAGAATTTCCAGAAGCTAAAAAGACGGTATGTGCCTTTTTATTTTATCAAGTGTTTCTTAGTTCTGCTTTGCAATGAATTTCTTGCTTAATACCACTATAGATAAGTCATATTTACTCACACTGATGCATTTTTTTGTTCTTCACATCGATTATGTTTTTAAAGTCGACATGAAATGAAAATGCACTGTCTAGTTTCTTAATTCATCTTAAAGGGGTAGTTCATCCAAAAATTAAAATTATTGAAAATTGTCATTAATCAATGATTAATGTCCTGCTCATGCTTGTCCATAGTGAATAGAGACAAACTTGATCACAGAATCATCCTTTGTGACTCATGCCATATATTTCAAGTGCTCCATGGATATACAATAGGGTTTGGTGAGAAAAAACCCAAAATGTAATTTATGGAAATCCTGACCCTGGCTGTTGGTCTGTTGTGCATTACTGCACATTCATGGCATTCGCCCACGAAAAGCACACAAGTGAAGTGCCCCATTTTAAAGAAATTAAGTTTAATAATAACATGAAACACATTTCCTAGAAGTAGTATCCATGTAATTATGCAAAGCTCACAAAGAAGTCACTTTGAAAGCAAGCAACTTTCTGTTGGTCCACATGGCAAATTTGCATGACCAACTTGAAACCACTGCAAAATCTGAGTTGGGAAATCTTTTGCCCTCATGCAAAATTTTCAATAGCGTAGATTCCTACTGAAACTGGATTTCACCCACAAAAAAAACTGGGCAAACAACAGTAAATATGACCGTACATTTATTGTGAACAGTTTAGTTTATCTGTGCATATTTTTCATTTTTATTTTTTACCTCATTAAAATTTTATAACTGGACCTTACAGTGAAAATGACAAGACTTCTGTCTAATGATAAATGCAGAAATTTTCCAAAATCCAAACAACAAATGCATAGAACCAAGTGCCCATCCTGCATTTTTTCCGTGACTTGTTTTGGATGTACATCACAATATTGGGCAGACAAGATCTGTCACAAATGTTTTTGTGACTCTGATTTTGCTAAGATGGCCTCTTGATGTCTATCACAGAACCCAGTGGACTAGTGAGGAACCACAGAAGGTTCAAGGAGCTCTCATCAACATGGCCTTGCATGTAGGTGCTTTGGGTTACAAAGTCTGGGAGAAGATGCTGACTCATGTCACATGTTGTGAGTGCACTTTTCACCTCGTCTAAAATATATGCAAGATTAACCCCGAGATCTTTGTGGGTCACTGTAACATTGTTTTGTCTGCAGTGCCTGTAATCCTGGATCCCAACACAGTCTCGCCCTGGCTCTCCATATCTCCAGATTTTTCCAGTGTGCAACAGAGTCTAGAAAGACAGACTTTCCCAGACAACCCTGAGAGGTTTGATCCCTGTGTTTTTGTCCTTGGCTCAGAGGGTTTCTCCTCAGGGCGCCACCGTTGGGAGGTCCGTGTGGCTGACCACCCCAAATGGATCTTGGGAGTATGCAAGCAGTCAGTGGTTCGGAAGAGAAAGTTCACAGTAACAACAAAAGCTGGAGTGTGGACCATCGGTCTGAGTAAAGGAGTCTACAGTGCCTTAACCACTCCACGCACTGAGCTGAGTCTAGAGAGAAGGCCTGAAACCATCAGGGTAAAGGTCAATATGGAGAAGGGAGAGGTGTCCTTCTGGGATACAGGCAACAACAAGCACCTATGTACATACAATGATAAGTTCAATGAAAAGCTGTTCCCCATCTTTGGCCCAGGCCTCCAGAGCACACCCATCACTATCTTGCCTGCTAAAGTGACCATACACAAACAATAAGTAAATATGCTTTATATCTAAGCCTGGTGAGACTGAAGAGTCTAAAACCTTCACTAAAGTTGCGACTTATTTTGAACAGAATTCAAGGAACATTTCAGAATCAGTGCAAATTAATCTCAGTCAACAGCATTTTTGGCATAATTCGCCATGTCCCTCTTTTTCTTTAAAAAAAAGAAAAAAAATGAATTACAGTTAGAAACTTACAATGGAAAGTGAATGTGGCCAATTCATAAACATGAAAATACTCAGTCTTTTGATAGTATAGCCACAAGACTTAAACAGTGTGCATTATTAACATATATTTAGTATGGAAAAAAATCACTTACTAACCTTTTCTGTGTAAAGCAATATCCAGTTTTACAATTTCATCATCATAACACAATAATTGAGTTTTACAATTTCATCATCATAACACAATAATGCCATAAACCCTAAAACCCTTAAAGCACTGTAAAATCTTGATATAAGCAGCGTTACAGATCAAATAATAGTTTTAAAAGAAGAATGAATGTAAGTGCTTTAAAGGGGTCATATGATGTTGCTAAAAAGAACATTATCTTGTGTATTTGGTGTAATGCAATGTGTTTATGCGGTATAAGGTTCAGAAAACACATTTTCCACATACTGTACATTATTGTTGCTCCTCTATGCCCCGCCTTTCTGAAACGCGTCAATTTTTTACAAAGCTCATCGGTCTGAAAAGCGAGGTGTGCTCTGATTGGCCATTCAGAACAGCCGGCATTGTAGTCTACTCTCCGAAGATCAGAAAACAGTCCTCCATGCGCTGCACACATCTGAATATTTGGGTTGAAGTGTTCTGGAACAGTGTTGTAAATACAACTTAACCACTGATTTCTAGTCGCGTCCTCTTTTGGAAGGCCAACAATGTAGTTTCGCTTTCACAACGAAACACAGTGTCACACGCGGCGGCGGCGGCCTAGAGTGAGTGGAGGCCGGCGGCTAGAGTCAGGAACGGCCGGCCGGATGAGTGAGAGGAGGCCGGTGAGCTTGAGAACGGCGCGGCCGGCAGGCTTGCGGCAACCACATGTGACGACCCCGGGCTGGACTCCGCTTCGTCCACGGTGAAACGTGACGTAGACATGTGGGGGCGTGTTAGAACGAGCCGTTTTAGGTAGGCGTGGTTGACTCTTAACTTTTATAAAGAATATCTTGGATTGGATTTGGATTTGAGACTTTAGTCTTTGCAACTTTACAGATCTTCTTTATGCACCAAGAGCTCGTAACACTCCAAAGAGAAAGGAAAATTTGAAATCGCATCATATGACCCCTTTAAGAAAATGATGAGCTTCGCTTTTCTACTTTTAAATCCTCCAACAACTGGACCCGTTCACTTTCATTTCAAGTGCAGTAGCATAACCGTGATCCTTGATTTTTGCTTCTTTCTTTTTTTTTTTTTTAAGAAAACGAGGGACAAATTGAAATTATTTTTTGTGGTAATCAACGTTATGCCACAAATGCTGTTGATTGTGAATAATTAACACTGAACATGGAAAATTCCTGAAAATGGCAAAGAAAGAAATTGAAATTCAAAGGTGGTGAACAGCATTTGCTGATATATTATACGAAAACATGTCATGATTTATGTTTTTTTTTTATGTTTGTGTGATTTACTGTGTCAGGATGGAGGTATTTTTTCCGTCCTCCACAATGTGAATGGCATCTTCATTGCTGCTAAAACACTATTGATCGTTCAGTAGAGAGTGTCTTTTATATCAGTCAACTTCAAAACTTACACTTAATCCTACTACTGTTGAATGATAGTAGTAAACAAATGAATTAAACAAGAACAACTCAATTTCAACCTTTATTTTTTTTAATATTTTTTGTTTGAAATAGTTAAGATGACTGTTTTCGGGGGGTTTTGCCATTTAATTGTGCCATGTTATTTACAATAATATAGTACTGCTTTTGATATCAGCGAGTGACACTTAAATAACCAAAATTTAATGAAACAATAACAATAAATGATCTCACTTATCAGACTGAATGTGTTTATTTTGTCTCCAGCAGCATTTTAGTTTATTATTTTCCATGCAGTCAAAAAAGGAACACTACATTGGTTAATAATGGAAAAATCTCTGATTTCACCAGTCTCATTAAAATTAGCTACTGATGTCCAAATTACTGTGAAAGCGCATGTTTTGAATGAAGTGTTTAAAAGTATTGCTGCAAACTAATTAACAGAGTTTATCATTGGACCCTACTTCATTTTGCAATAATCTGACAGCTGGACAGTTGCATAAACACAGCCGCTTTGTTAAAAGTACATTGATAACTAGTCTTGATAACTAGTCTGACCAACTAGCAGTTAGCCAAGGGATAATCAGTTTTACTTTTCTGATTCAAATGAACCCAATCTATATTTTTAAGTAACCGTCTTTAAAATGCTGTGACCAGTCTTAATTTATGCAACCGCCACTGGTCTTAAATGACTTTTAGGCTGTACATGTGTAAAAGTATGACAGTTACAGTGTTATCTATCTGAGGTTCTCATGCTTTCCTCTGCACTGAGAGAGATAACAGACAGAGGACTGTTCTGGGATTCATTTGCCCAAGACACATTTATATAGTAATATGTGACCCTGGACCACAAAACCAGTCATAAGTGTCAATTGTTTTAAATTGAGATTTATACATCATCTAAAAGCTGAATAAATAAGCTTTCCATTAATGTATGGTTTGTTAGGATAGGACAACATTTTGCAACTATTTGAAAATCTGGAATCTGAGGGTGCAAAAAAATCTAAATACCGAGAAAATCGCCTTTAAATTTGTCCAAATGAAGTTCTTAGCAATGTATATTACTAATCAAAATTTATGTTTTGATATATTTACAGTAGGAAATTTACAAAATATTTTCATTAAACATAATCTTTACCTAATATCTTAATGATTTTTGGCATAAAAGAAAAATCAATAATTCTGGCCCATACAATGTATGCTAGAAATATACCCGTGCTACTTAAGACTGGCTTTGTGATCCAGGGTCACATATCATAATGCACTTATATTTAATGTTAAATAGAAAGGCAACCTCCCCACGACCTTACATACAGGTTTAGAGAATGGATAAACGGATGGAAAGGCTTGCTTAGTCCCATATGTTAGTCCCTCATATCAGTGAATATGTGGTTGAAATATTTTTGTCCATGGAGACTAGCTTTTCAGTTGAAGTTAGCAACTAAATAATAAAACAGTTGTTAGCTATGCTATTGGAGGGGACAGGGGTTCAAAACAGTGTTGAAAATGTTTTCAGTTTTGTTTAAGATACTGGGTCTGGTTTCATCTGCACAGTTCTCAATAATGTCATGGGAATTTGTGTTGATCCTCCACCCTTGTCACAGATGAGTGAGGGCTATGAGAAGACCAATGAACACCTCACATTTAATAGACTTGTTAAATAGGGATAAGGCAAAGGAAATAATTAGTTTATTTGAAACTTGAAAGAAAAATGTAGTACAAAATGTAAAAATTTTAAAATACATTTTTATGATGCTCATTTGTGACCCTGGACCACAAAACAAGTCATAAGTAGCACGGGTATATTTGTAGCAATAGCCAACAATACATTGCATGGGTCAAAATTATTGATTTTTCTTTTATGCCAAAAATCATTAGGATGTTAAGTAAAGATCATGTTCCATTCAGATATTTTGTAAATTTCCTACCATAAATATCAAAACTGAATTTTTGATAAGTAATATGTATTACTAAGGACTTCATTTGGACAACTTTAAAAGCAATTTTCTCAATATTTTGATTTTTTTTGCACCCTCATATTCCAGATTTTCGAATAATTGTATCTCAGCCAAATATTGTCCTATCCTAACAAACCATACATCAATGAAAAGATTATTTATTTAGATTTCAAATGATGTAAAAATTGACCCTTATGACTGGTTTTTTGGTCCAGGGTCACATTTTATGATTGCTGATTGTTACATTCACAACAATGTGAATGACAAAGGATCTTCAAATTCCTCAGTATATTTGAATTCTCACAAGACGTTCAAATAAATTATTAACATACTGTAATAAAACTTTAATTTTTTTCTTAAGCCACAACATTATACATATATA